ATAATATAATATAATATAATAAATATAATATATATAATATAATATAAAATAATATAATATAATATAATAATATATATATATATACTGTAATATATATCACATATAATGTATATAATATGTAATATATATAATATATTGTTATATAATATACATGATATTATATTTACAGTAATATATATATATAATGTATATATATATCACCCCCCAAGACCGACCTTTTTGCTGCCTTGACTTCTTTGACACCTATCCAACTTGCAATGGCGTTGCAATGCCATTGCAAGTTGAATGGATTCAAGATTCAAAATTCAAGATAGTGCAGGGCATAGTCACCTTGCGGAATGGCGCTGCCGATATCCGGCTGGCTCCTGTGGTCCAACCCCCGACCTCGCGGGCGGCACGGCCCACAATGGACGAGGTCCAGACTTGGGAGATTCATGAGTCCAGACTGCCCTTCAGCAAGGACCAGCTGGCGTCTGCCATGATCGTCGTCCAAAAACAACTATCCCTCCCGGTGGGCATTCTCCAAGGAGACTGGACTGAGGTGGCTACAAAGCGTTTGAAGGACAACTTAGCCAAGCCCAAAAAGGGAGCCACCAAGAGGAGTTCATCAGTGCTTGGAGAGCAAGAGCAACAGAGGGTGCTAGCGTTGGAAGACAAAAAGGATGAAGAGGAGGCGTTGAAGAAGAAGAAGCGCAAGGCGCCGGCGGAAGAGAAGGACGTGGAGAAGGAGTTGGCTGAAGACTCCGCAGTGGAGAAGGAATCGCCCACCAATGGCTCAAGTGAGTCAGATAGTGACCCGAGCAGTTCCTCTAGTAGCAGCACGACACAGTCACACTTGCGAGCAGAGATTGGCATCCTGAGTTAAGCCATCAGTTGCCATCAGCGCATTGAAGAGGACAACGCGCAGTTGACCCAAAAGATTGGAGTCCTCACTGAGGAGAACCTCCGTCTGCATGCACGCCTGCGTGCGGCTTTGTCCTGACATGGTCGTCTCTGAAGACAGCTTGCGCGGTAAAAGAAAGTATTGCATGCTGCATGCTGCCGATCTGATCGTGTGCAAGCTGTCCGTCATAGATTTCGAACACATCTGAGCATGTATGTATGTCTATATATATACACATACATACATACATACATACATACATACATACATAAGAATCGATTAAGTCAATGTCGCTAGCTCACACTGGCTCAAGTTGGCTCAAGTCCCCCCCCATTCCTCCCTATACTTTGTTGAACATGGCAGGAACTTTGATGGACCAGGCCATCAAGGATGTTGGAGGCAAGCCGTTGCACTTGCGACCTTTGGAGGAGCCAAAGTGCGGGATGGTGGAGACAGTGGACCCCGTGGCGTGCAGCACATTCGCTGCTGATGCCTGCAGGTCGTTGGGGAAAGGTGTCAAATCCATCACAGTGCTCTTTGACCTGCACTGTGACATGGCACCATGCGGCGATCCAGCCCGCATCCGTCACTGGACTGACTTACCCGAACCCATCCGGTTCAAAGGTGCGCCGGCAGATGCATCAAAAATGGATTTATCCAGGTGGATCTGGCGCATGGCAACGTGGATATCCTCAAGGTGCTTTACTTGCCACGTCCAATCTCCTCGCAAGTGGCCGAAAGTCTTTGCAGTGGGCAGCCTTATGTTCCCGTATTTCGTGCAGGCCCATGGAATATCAAAAAAGGTGTCCAGTGGCTACTGGGCCGCTTGGGAGGATATCAAGTCCGATGGTTTGTTTTGGAAGAAAAAGCTCCACCAGACCATTCATCCAAGCCTCTGTGGTCGCCAGCAAATTCAGAGTTGGAAGAGGGCATTTACCATATCAACGCGCATGCACCAGAATGCGATGCTCTCAACGAACAAACCTTCTGGATCCTGGTGAACATCAAGCCAGATTCTGGCTCCCCCATTGCATGAGTCCAAGGTGCGCCAGATGTGTCAGAACAAGAGCAAGGGGCTGGGAGGAGCTGTCAGCATGACAGACTTTCCCCTTACTACATTTAGTTTGAAGCCGTTCTTGCACAGTGTCTTACTCCCACATCTGTATCCACTACTGACAAACTTTGGTGTCCTACTGCTGGGTTGCCCTGGCGTAGGGAAAACACCTTTTGTCATCATCATGTCCATGGCAGTTGGTCGACGCCATGTGCGTCAGTGCGGTTCAGAAGGTCTCAAACCTGGGTGGAGGCGGGCTAAGTCCCTAGACAACTTCAGGCACAAGGCCCCCCAAGTCCAAGAAGCACTCTTCCTGGACGACCCTTGCCGCTCCAAGGTGTCTATGGCTGACAAAAGCTTCCTCACCTGCGACGAGGATGGAACCGTCAAGTCGCGGTACAATGACACCAAGATGCTCAGGAACCAGATGAGAGCCTACGCTTCTAATGACCTAGCAGAAGAGAGATTCGAGTGTGGCCCGCGCGAGACGGTGATATCCGAGGAGAATTTTTTCAGTCCGCTAGGCGATTTCTTTGCAGGTGACAAAGAAAAAGATGTGTTGGCGGTGCTGAAGCGGTCCATCGTGTTTATGTTTGGCAATCGCGCTCTCTATCTTCGTCTACCAAGTGAACGTCGAGATGCTGTTGTACATCGCATTGCCATGGAGGATGTGCATCTTGACTTGTTGGATGCCAGGGACAAGCCTTTCTATGGGAAATACAAGGCTGGCATCTTGGAATCAGGGCCAAACTTTGACGTAGATCTACAGCGCGAGGAAGCGCTCTTGGAGCGAGGCTTCACCAAGATGGCAGAGCTAGAGAATGTGAAGGACTATGTCGCATTTGTGAATGACGAGCTTCAAGGCAAACTTCTTTTCCAGAATGCCCATATTGTGCCACCGTCCTCAAGCCCTTCTACTTCAGAAGACAATATGGATGCTGGTCGCCCGGTGCCTCCCATTGGCACGCTTCCCTCTGGCCGCCGCCGTCGAGCCTTCGTCTACCCTGATCGTCAACTACGGGCTAGATTTTCTCCACCACCATCTGAAAATTTGGAAGAGTTAGCTCAGGATGCAGAAGCTGCAACGTTGCATGACCAGGAGGGAGAAGCTGACGCAGAGATGATGGCCGAGGAGTTGCGCGCCGGAGAGGACGTCATTGACACGGGCTTGAGTGCAGACGAGGATGCAGCAGCTGATATGGGGCTCATTGACTGACATGTAGTTGTGCCTAATTAAGTCTGGGGGAGACATGTTTGTACAATAGCCAGACTTGCGGCTATCTGCAGAGGACCCCATGGCATGTAGAGTTGCCGTATTCAGATTCCATTACATTTGTACAATAGCAAGGTAGACTTTCAGGGTTGTGTCCGAGGGGAGGATCAAAAGCATCGGAGGACCTGAAGCGTTGGGAGTCTCACCTTGTTGATTGTCAGCAGTCACTATGTATTTGCAACTAAATGCAAATTTTGCACAAAAAGACACTCACAAGTCTGGCGCTTGACAGCTTTTCTGCCCAGTAGAGCCTGCTATTGTTTTGTTGTTGGAGAGCCATGCCATCCAAATTCCATCCGCCATGTCCTGCATTGAGGGGAGGTGGGAGCAAGGCAGTGCTGAAGCGGCCAGCTTCCAAGAAGACAAGCAGTTTCAATCCATTTCCATTGCCCAAAAGAGGCAAGGCCAGATGCCACATGAAAAGGCCGGCCACAAAGAAGACAAAGGAGTGGAAAAGCGTGTCGTATGTCCGGGGCAAGGTGGATGTACCGTCGCGCGGTCTTCGTATGGAGCAAGTCGAGTGGAAGAGATCAGTGAAAGAACTCCTTTGTGCTGACAATGCTACAATTGTCAAAATTCTTCAGGAAGATGGCTTACTACCAGAATGGGGTGACCGCGTCTGCCCTCGATGTGAAAAAGGAGTCCTCAGTGGCTTTTGCTTGAAGCCTGGTGACTCATTCCCCAAATACCGCTGCAAGGCCAAGGGCTGCAATGTCTACATCAATCCACATCACTTGCACCCATTGTTCACAGATGAGTCCGGTGTAGCAGCTACTCCTTTGCAAACGCAGGCAGCCATGCTTCTGCTGAAGCTTAACAATGTGACCAAGCCATAGAAGATTTGGACAAAAGACTATGCAATCTTCGAAAGCGCTACGTTGAAGAGAAGGAGAAAGGCATCAAGTTTGGAGATGGAAGGTCTTGGAAAGACATTGAGGCAGATGAGGCAACTTTCGACAAGAGGGACATGACTGGGTTCTTAGAGAGAGAGGATGCCGCGAAGCCAGTGGAGTGGGAACAGTGGCTTGGCATTGTTCAACGGGGGAAACCTGAGTCTTCAGTCCTTCATCGATTGAAACCTGTGCGCACGGTTCGCCGAGCACCGGGACCTGGCGCTGTTCGGAAGGTGGAATGGTAGCCGCTGGCCCAGCACTGGCTGAAGCATAGAAAAGTCATCCTCCATACTGACTTGGCCAAGAGTTACAAGGTTAAAGTGGAGGGTGTACTGCACGACCGAGTGATTCATCAGAAGAAGCGGGTCAAATGCAAAGGTGTGTGGAAATGGTTGACTCCGCGATATGTTAAGATTGTAGAGCACAAGATCCCCAACAGCAGCAAGACCACGCGGGTCAAGGCCGGCACGCAGGTCATTGACCGCTGCTGGCGGTTCATCAAGGACCGCCTGAGTGTCAACCAGCACGCCAAAGTGGGATCTCACCTTTTGAAGGCGCAGATCAGGTCCGCACAGTACCAATACTGGTACAAAAACTGCGACCTGTGGCGTGCAACTGGTGATCTGTGTCGCTGGGGCTTTGAGGCCTTTCATGGCAAATGATCACATAAGAGCGCAGAGGAAAGCAATGCAAGAACAAGTTGTCTGTCGTTGCAACCATATTACCATTTCGTTCGTGTGCTCAGCCTATCCCGGTATTCTTGTCCCTCTGCAGGTTCATGCAGAAA